GATCATTAAACATGTAATATTAAATACACCTGTGACACTAAAGCTGCCTACATGTACACTTAAGGTGAAATTATATATAAAATCATAAATTCATTAATAAAAGTAACCATTATTTATTTGTTGTCTATCCTGTGCTAATAAGCACTTTACATAGTGTCTTTTAGTCCTCAACAAGACTATGATGTGAGTTCTTTATTAAAAAATAAAAACAAAACCCGTCACTGAAAGGTTAAATAATCTCACCTTCATCAGTGGCATAATGAATGAAGAGTTGGGATTCAAAGCCGGAACTGACTTCGAACCCTTAAATACATACTGCTTTCAACTGATTACCTTCTCTTTAATAAGATAACACCGCGTTTATTCAGATCAGGGATTTCAAACTAAAAGGCCAGTAGGGTCTAAGAAGGTAGTACCGTTGACCCTTGAACAACATGGGTTTGAGCTGCACAAATGCACTCATATGTGGATTTTTCAGTAGTACAGTATCATAAATATATTCCTCTTATTTCTAAATGTTTTCTTTTCCCTAGTTTACTTTATTGTAAGATACAGTATATAATATATATAACATACAAAATATGTGTTAATAGACTGTATGTTACCTATAAGGCTTCCATTCAACAACAGGCTATTAGTAGTTAAGTTTAGGCAAGTCAAAAGTTATATGCAGAATCTCAACTGCCTACAGGGGGTAGGGGGTGTCAGTACCCCTAACCTCAGTGTTGTTTAAGGGTCAACTGTATAAGTAAAGACTATCAAAGACAACAGGGCAGTGAGGTCTATGGACCACCTAAAGAAAACATCCCATCTAAAGGCAGTCATTGGATCCGTGTGACTCTTACTACACTAGACTACCCAGGACTTAACTACGCTACCAAAAGTCAGATATCTTTTCAAAAGAAGCTGAAAATCTAGACTCTTTTTGTGACATATTTTTATTTTTAAATCTTACTGCGTAAAATAAAATTTTAAATGATAGCAGATGCCTAATAAAACATATGTGGGACCACATTTAGACTGGCACAATGAATAATCCCAGAAGTATGCTAAGAGAGGCATATGATGTCAGTGCACTAGCATTTATAAACAGACATGCTGCATCTAACTCTGAGAAGAAATTTTCCCATAGGCACCCTTAAAATCTACACAACAACTATTATAATAAGCACTCAAAAAATATTTGCTAAAGGAAAAGAAGGGAAGGAAAGAAGAGTGTTTAGTAATCAAGTCTTAATCAACTGTCTCCATCTCCTGCTAGCCTGGACTCTTAGACACAACTCTAGAGCATTACTACTACTAGAGCACTCCCCTAACACTCTAAGCAAAGATGAACAAATTAATCAAAAACCAAATGAGAATGACGGAAACTTTATAAAATGGGAACTGGAAGGTTACTAATAAATGCACTCCTGCTTAAGAATATAACTTTATACTGAGAGATTGAGATTCTGGATATTATTTAATAGTGAAAGTTGATGATGATTACACCTCTACTGTAAATACTGAATATCCACCCAACTGTACTTACTAATGGGAAAATGGCTCCCAAGAAAAGGCTTATTATAAAAACTATAATTCTACTGGAGTCAAATCAAAGAACAATCTTAAAGGAAAGCTTTTGATCTGCACAATTTCAGAGTGTAAAATATTCCTCAAAAATGAAGACAGCAAGGTAACTGAGAGTCAGTGATATTCAGTAAGAACTAAGAAAAGAATAAATGGGGGCTAGAGTATGTTACCTTCCTACCTGAACATTAATAAGCTAGATTAGGAGGTTAAAATGAAGTAGTCCTCAATTCAATTATCAAATCCTCACAAATAACAAGAGTGCACTGTGACTGTATCTTTTTATTCCTACTCTAGTGGAACCACAGATAAGTTCTCTGCCAACACAGAAAAGTCTTCATCATCTCCTCTTCTTTTCTATACAACGAAAAGCACCGTCAAGTGGCACTTTCTTAGTCTAAGATGGCTCCTTTCACAAAATGTATCTTCGCAAATACATTCTGGTATTCCCTATACTAAATGGTTTCCGGTCCCAACCCATAATGACTAAGATAGTTCACTTAAACTGATTCTACACAATTCTAGTTCTTTCCAGTGTTCTCAAAAGGAGGAAGAAAAGGGACAAACAATCCTGGGAAAGAGCGCATACTCTTGTTTTTCAATTTAGATATACATATATTAGAAATGACGAAATTCCTGTACCACAAAAATCCATTTAATCTATTATTTCTTAAACATTATATAACCCAACTAACACATTTTGGGGAAAGTCTACCAACTTCGTAAAGCCCTTTAGCAACTCCAACATCCATGTCTTATGCTACTGTATTTCTTGGCCTATGTCAAAAGTTAACCAGATTCAACTATATAAACTTGTAACTTTAAAAATACCTGGGCTTCTATTCATATATTGAACATCTATAAATTATTGCCTTCATAAACATAAATTTCAATAACATGACTCTTATGAAATACTGTCAAATCACATACTCCTTTTCTCTATTAACAAATGAAGACAAAAAATCAATTACATAAAAATTTTCTAAACATCTGCACAACCTGATTAACTTAATCTTATATCTAACAGGACTCTGGTGTCTTGAACTTAAAAGATATATAGACCAATCCTAATATAGACTGGTACAATTTTAGTAACTATGCAGATCACCTACACATGTCAAAACCCTGAAAAACAGTGGTACCTAAAAGGAGCTCATATGTAAACTAGAAAGGAAATCACATCAGTGCAACAAAGCCTTTAACATATATTTAACTGCTTTTGTGTGTCTGGGTGGATATCACAAGAGAAATCCTCCTTGGAGAATAAGACAAAGTTAGTGAAACTAGTAATTTCAAAAGAAAAAAGACAAGGAAAAAACATTACACTGGAAGCATAAGCTTGAGATTCAAGTAAAAAGAAATAATTATCAGAACAACTTCAAAGCTTTCAAGGTCAACCTCTGCATGCATTCTCTAACAACAAACAGTACAGAGATTCAAACGGGGTACTAAAATATGGGAAGTACCAACAATTTGACCATTTTTAGTCTTTCTGTTGCATTCCCACATAATATCTATATGTGATTATTTCTGTAAAAACAAATGCCATGGGACGCCTGGGTGGTTCAGTTGGTTAAGCGGCTGCCTTCGGCTCAGGTCATGATCCCAGCGTCCTGGGATCAAGTCCCACATCGGGTTCCTTGCTTGGCGGGGAGCCTGCTTCTCCCTCTGCCTCTGCCTGCCTCTCAGCCTACTTGTGATCTCTCTCTCTCTCTGACAAATAAATAAATAAAATCTTTAAAAAAAAAACAAAAACAAAAAAAAAAATGCCATAAATTTGTTTAAATTCACCTCTATTGTAAGTATATTTAGAAGCAAAGTCTAATGAGGAAGCAGAGCCGTATCACTCTGTTTAATTAAGAAGCTGTCCCTGGATTCTAGAAAAACTGTTCTGTAAAAAGCATCACTATAAAAACTATCACTGATTTTACTATTTGCATGGAAGCTCAGTAATGAAACCAGTTTCATGGCATTTCAGATGAGACAAAAGTTAAAACAACAATGACCACAACCACAAAAAAGTCCCCCTGATGGTTACCTAAGGCTAACAAATGCAGTTCCATGATAATTCACTTAGGGAATGGCCAGTAGGCAAGTTCTATTCCCAAGAAAATGTCAATAAATGAATCTTTTAAAAATTTAATCTTACAGCCATGAGCTACATTTTGAAGTCAGAAGAACTAGGCAGATCTCATAAGATGAGTTTGTCTCATCTTTTACCACCTTCCCCTCATTCACTACGCACTGGAGATACTGACCTTCATTTATGCTCTACTGGGCCTCAATCTTGACCCTTGAGCAGTCTTCCCAAGAATGCTCTTCTGCAAGGTCTGCTGTGCTCAAGTGTCACCTGCTCAGAGAGGCCTCTATGACTACTCTCTCTATAGAACCCTTGTCTGGTCTTTATTTACAGCTATAATCCCAGCAATAAGAACAGAGTCTGACACAAGCGCTCAGTAAGTACTTGTTAAATGAATTAATGAGCTCACATACAATTTCAATCACACAAAAACAAATCTGACAACTTAAAAAACAAGTGTACTAGCAAAATATCTAATACTCAATTCCAATTTGAAGTCCAAGAAAAGGAAAAAAAAAAAAAAGGTCAACTTTTAATAACAGATTCTCCACGTTTATTTGCTATCTGCTCTGGAAGGCATGGCAAGATATATCTTAATTCTGAGATATTACAGCAAATATATGAAGATTCCATGTCATATTGAGTCCTCAAAGATCTGATGATTCGTAAACAAAGACAAAGTAAGTCTGGTATTAGCTTTAAAATTTAGTGGTACTCTAATACATATACACAGTATTTTCAAGTATAATAATAATCTGTAATATAAATACTCAAAATAAGGTTAATAGATCCTGTTCTACATTACCAAGTCCTATCTATCACTGACTAAACACAGCCTAAACAGAACATCCGGAAATAATCATTTTCAGTGTGTTAAAAAAATATATATAAAAGAAAGTCTGCCAAAAGTGAGCCAAAGGCTTTTAAGTGCGGACCTCTAAGTACCTGGTTCTGGTAAGTACGCATTTTGTAAATATTACATCAACCATTACAATCTGTTTTCTTAAAGAGCATAAGGCATTACATTTTAAAAAAAACATAAGATACTATGGAAAATAATTCCAAATTGGACCTTGCAACTCCTCCCTAGCATTAAATACTCTAACCAGGGAGCATCCATCCTACTTGCAAGTTAACCAAAACAGCTTTTATTTAAACACACTCAACTCAGTTAAACCAAAAGAAGGATATCCACAAATCAACCAACCAACCTACAGATCTATCAGCACAATTATTCATTAAAGATAAACGTCTGAAACAGAAAATAATGGAGAACAAAGACTTTCTTCAACATCTGCTACTCACATAAAATGCCCAGAACAAAAGAACCTCTGCAGTTAAGGTGACTTACCGTTACAGATTTCAGTGTCATACCATGATAGGTGCCCATAGTGTCGATTTTGAAGCCTTCCGTTTCTACAAAGAAAGGGGGCTTGCTATTAGATTTTATGCATTTCGTGATCAATAACAAAACTAAAGTAATAATCTGTGTTATAATCTGACAGCTTAATAATGTAACAAAGCATCAAATGTACTATTCATAGAAAATTAAATTACATGCCTATGAAGATAAAAACTTTAAAAGCAGTACTAGTCCCAAAAATATATTCAATACATGCCAGTGAGGCCTTTTGTAGAAGCTAGCTAAGACTATTTCTACAATTGTGTTCAAAAGTTTTGATATTTTGGGACTATTAAAAATTAGACTGAATAAAGTACTCTGTAACCTTAAATTATTTACTTCTAATACTCCTTCACAGTAGCACTAAAAGCTTCTAGTATCGTGAGAAGGTCTTAAATTATGAAAAGTTCTGTTTTAAAATTACAATCACAGGCATATGACACATAATTTGTATAAAAGCAATGCTGCAAATAGTGATAAAGGTTCCAGGACAGAGTCTAAAAATGCCTTTCTGTAAAGGCATATTATATCAATACAATTATATTAAATATTTTACACATTGCAAGCTATATGTCTCTATCACAACTGCTGATTTTACACATCAGTGGAAAAGATAAACAAAATATGTAAACAAATGGGCATGGCCTGATTTGACCCACAGAGGATTGTAATTTGCCAAACCCTACTTTACATAATTCATTCCACAAGAAAAACTACAGTGAATAAAAGAATGAACCATTGTATTTCTACAGCATGTGTTCACAGGACATGCCTTTAACCAGTAAACGAAGTCAGCACACAAAGTACAGAAGCAATATATCCTTTAATGAAAGTTAAATGGAGGAGTTAAACTTCCAGTTGCTTCTACCTCATTTTTTCCCACAAATCAAAATAAATGAAGATCCCAAGAGAAATTACAATGACATTAGTACCACTTCACTAACCACCACAGTAACATGGAAATGATTCACTATTGCATTAGCCAGTATACCACATAGGCTACCCCAAAATAAGCCCTCACATAATTACTAAAATCAATACTTCCCAACCTCTTAATGTATACATTTGCAACTTCAGAAACATGATTTGATATATAGAATCTCCAGTCTGAACTTCTGAGAAGCAGAATATTAGATAACAGGAAATATTTATAGATAGCTTACTATATACCAATTACTATTCTAGACACATTATTAACTAGTCTAATCCCCGCAATGAAACTAAAAGATAGATACTACCACTATTAGTAGTATTGCAATGAAACAACGAAGAAATTAAAACAGAACGCAGTTAATTTATTGAAATTCACGCAAAAAGTAACTGTGATACAGGCAATCTGGATCCAGAATCCATGAAATTAAACCAGGGGTTGGCATTCTTTTTTTTTTTTGACAGAGAGAGAGAGAGAGAGAGAGAGCACAATCGAGCATGGGTGGGGGTGGGGGGAGATGAGGGAGGGAGGAAGGGGGGGAAAGAAAGAATCCCAAGCAGGCTTCACACCCATTATGGAGCCCAACATGGGGCTCAATCTCAGAACCCTGAGATCACGCCCTGAGATGAAATCAAGAGTCAGACACTTAACTAACTGAGCCACCCAGGCACCCCAAGGGTTGGCAAATTTATTCTGTAAAAGACCAGATAGTATTTGATGGCTCTGCAGGCCACGCAATCTCTGTCACAACTCAACTGCTGTCACAGCACCAAGGAACCAAAGATAATACATAAATGAATGCCACTGTGTTCTAGCAAAAGTTTATTTATAATATGTGTTGGGCCAGACTTGGCCTGCAGATGTTTGCCAACACCTGCTCGTAGTAAACATCAAGCTATACTACCTCTCACATTCGGCGCCACCACAGTTAAGGGGAATATAAAATTAAGTAACTTGCCTTCTTTTCCTTTGAATCTTTCCTGGTCGTATCTATTGTAGGCAGCTGGGATAGGCTGTTTGGTACGCAATGTGGGATCCTGCAGAAAAATTAATTATGAGTTACATGTTAATATTTTAAATTGCTACTTAAAACTCAGAATAAGAACCACAGTAAGTGTATTATTTTCTAAGCTTTTTCCTTACACTAGGCAATAAGACAAAAGTGGGGAGTCATTTGATGTTTATTTTCAAGATATTATTTACTGGTAGAAAATTATCATTGCATCAGGGACAAGAGCAAAAGACTCCAAATAAACCTGTATCATGGCAAAACACAAAACTGCAGAAATAAAATAGGTGTGCTTAATAATTTCATTATTACCTAAATTTCTTCATGAAATAATAAATCCCCAATTATGAATTATTTTTTAAAAAAAAAACTTAATTCAAAGCTTACTGAACTGATATTTTAGAGCGTTTTAACAAAATTACTCTCCAAATTGTTATTGATACTTAAATAAATATGACAACTATCACAATAAACCCACTATAAATGCACAAGATAAGACTGAAGCTAATAAAGATGTTACTAGTTAAAATACTTAGAATAAGTTGTCAATCTAATGATGTCAACTTAATTCACAAATACTTTATCTAAAATTCAGTCTGGGGTGCCCAGGTGGCTCAGTCAGTTAAACATCTACCTTAGGCTCAGATCAGGATCCCAGGGTCCTGGGACTGAGCTCCACGTTGGGCTCCAGTGGGGGAAGCAGGCTGCCTGCTGAGCAGAGAGCCCAATGCAGGCTCTGATCCCAGGACCCTGAGATCATGACCCGAGCCGCAGGCAAGAGGCTTAACCCACTGAGCCACACAGGCGCCCAAAATTTTTATGTATCTTAATGATTACAGAAATACAGAAAAAACTCAATCACAAGGATAATGGTTTAAATGTTTTAAGATCTGAAATAAGTTTCCTACCAATGCTATTCAAATCAACCAATTCATAATCATAAGCACCCTATGTTTTACCATCACAGTATATGTTTCGCTTTTTTTTTTTTTTTAAACTCATCTCTATGTCCTACTAGACTTTAAGCTCAAAGAGGACAGGTATCTCTTGTATTTGTGTCAGCACACTGACTGACAATAGTAGTTACTTAAGTCCTTGCTGGGAAGTCAACTCAAAGTATTAACCTAAATACCAATAAAAGTCCCCTACCTCTTAATTAAATACCAATGATTTTATGAACAAGCAAAACTACTAGATCTTGCAAAGAGTGTATTAGCGCTCTTCCAAATTTTAATACACTTAAAAAAAACCACTATATAACATAAAAACAATTTTATTTATGTTTATTACCTTTGTTGGATTCTATGAAACTAGCTGGAAGGATTTTCAACAAAACTGGAGGACATGTTTGAGTTTAAATATAGGCTATATGTCATACATGAAATTTACTTTGGAGGGGTCCCTAAGTGGCAACTCAATGAGTGAGGCAGTCAACTCTCCAAATGGCTGAAACTAAAGTACCATGAAAGAACCAATGATCTATGAGATGAGGAGAAACACATTTACCAGGAAGTCACAGATACCAATGATTTCAGAAAAAGCTCCAAAATGGACTGTAACATTCATATCTCTAACAATGATAATGATTCTCCCAAGCAACAATGAGTAATAGGTCTGTTACTTACTTTATACAACTTCTCAAAGGGCTTTTCTTAACTTACCCCTTTCAGATTCTCATCCAAGTACATCTCTAAGAACTATTGCTTAAGTAACTTTTTTTTTCCTGTTTTGGTTGCTTGGTTTTTTTTTTTTTTAATTGTTACTGTTGTTGTTGGTTATCTTCTGACTCCCTTTATTACTTCTCACATTCCTCACCCACCCCCACCTCTAGTAACCACCAATCTGTACTCTGTATCTGTAAGTTTGCTTTGCTTTTAGGTTCCACATATAAAAGAGATAGCAAGGTAATGTGTCTTTCTCTAACTTATCTCACTTAGCATAATGCCCTCAAGGTCCATCCATGTTGTCACAAAAGTCAAAATTAAGGGCGCCTGAGTGGCTCAGTCAGTTAAGCGGCTGCCCTGGGCTCAGGTCATAATTCCTGGGTCCTGGGATTGACCCCGCATCAGGTTCCCTGCTCAACAGAGAGCCTGTTTCTCCTTCTCCCTCTACCTGCCGCTCTGCCTAGTTGTGCTCTCTCTCTCTCTCTCTCTGTCAAATAGATAAATAAAGTCTTAAAAAAAAAAAAAAAAAGGTCAAAATTACATTATATTTTATGGCCGAATAATATTCTATTGTATGTATATACCACAACTTCTTTATCCATGGATCCATCAATGGACACTTGTTTCCATATCTTGACTACTGTAAATAATGCTGCAGTGAACATTAAGATGTTCAAGTTAGTTTTCAAGTTAGTGTTTTCATTTTCTTCAAATAAATACCCAGAAGGAGAACTGCTGGTTCATACAGCAGTTCTTTCTTTAATTTCCTGAGCAACCTCCATGCTGTTTTTCCTAGTGGCTACGCCAATTAACATTCCCACCACGAGTACACAAGGGTTCCCTTCTGCTCCATATATTTGCCAACACTTACTTCCTGTCTTTTTGATAATGACCAATCTAACTTGTGTGAGGTGAGATCTCACTCTATAAGCTTTAATGGGGGGGAAAATTTTCACATATTTCAAGAATACTGAAGCAGGAAAAGGTTTAAAAGTACTGATTTAAGAACTTTAAGATCAGATGTTTTCAAAATTACAATACTGAAAAACAAGAGTCATTTTCATTAAAAATAATATATAAGCAGTAAAACATACCACAGGTGCTGCATTTGGGGCCGGTCGCTGCTCAGGCGCACGCCCTTCTTCTCTAGCTTTCACAGACTGAAGAATTGCAAAAATATTCTTGGAAAAATTCTAAAATATAAACAGATCTTAATCAGTCCACTTAAAATTAAGTATTCAAGGCAGTAAGTTTATTTAATAAATAATTTCAGACTTTTCTTCCTTTAGTTCTTCTCTACTACATCACTGAGGTGTTCTTTACTATACACACAAATAAAAATCGAACTACCACTAAAAATTGATCCCCAAACCAAATATGATAAACACACTGTTATCCATTTATTTTTATTTTACTTAAACTGTTTCATTGGCTATAAATGTATTCATATTCTGCATCTGTTCAAATATGTAGCTAGGAAACAAGCTATTGAAGTAAAAATGAGATTTGTTGTCACAAGAGGCTTCTTAATTTTTAAAGAAATCAATTCTATCTTCTTCTAGGTATAATAAACTCTAGTGCTAATCTCAGATTGCTACAATTTATATGAGATGTGGAAGGTTTTAAAATACTCTTTGTTAGGAGTTATTGCATACTTTTAAAAGATTTTCAAATTGGGAAGTATTTTTAAAAACTTGATTCATGGCAAAATACCAGGAGTTAACCAACCACTGCTTTTGCACCAGCAGGACAGAAGTCAACACAGTGAAATGCAAACAAAGTCTTAATCCTACTATGAAAATCACTAAAAATGTATGAAGATCAAATCCCATACTTTAAAAATAATAAAGTATTGTGTAAGAGACACTAAATCTAGAAGAATCCATGTTATCAGCTATTTTTGTGTGGTAGAATTACAGGTGATTATAATCTTCCTTTTAATGATCTCTTTTAAATCAACTTTTCAATAAGGAACACTACCTTATTTAAGTTTATAAGCACACTCTTAATGACATTATAAAATTGGGTTGCTTTATATGGGTTGCTTACAACAATAATATAATTATATAGGAACATACTTATTTTTCTCATCAACTTTTTATTCCAGAAATTTAGAAGGTAAGAAGGTCCTAATCCCCGGTAATAATAAAGATCTATCTAAAATCATAGGATCTATTAAGACTGAGTACCTAAAAGGATTTTTAGTGTTCAGGAGATGAAAACCATATACAGAAAGACTATCAGTCAAAACAGTTGTTTCTGGTTTTAAAAAATGTTAATGCTCACAGAAGTAAACCAAACAGCTACCAAACAGTTCTTAAACTATAATTTATTTCTTAAATAATACTGTGATAGCAACAACACTAACTTAAATTAGAGCATTAAGTTTTGAAATGATGGTAAAACCCTGCCACCTAGAGCTCAAAGAAAATTGTTCATCTCAGATTTTGAAAATTTAATGTTTGGTCTAAAAGTAAGATGGAGCACAGAAGGTATGTTTTATTCCTTTAATAAGATTCAAATTTGGGGGCTATTATAATGAACACTGGTAGAACATTAGCACGTTGTAATATTCAACTATTAGCCACATTATGCAGTGAAATGAGTATCAACAGATCACTTTACTGTAAATACAAAAACTGAAGTTTATATCCTCAGATTTCTCTAGTTCTAAGCTCTGAGGAACAATTCCTAAACTTAACCTCAAGTACTTTGTAAAATAGGACAAAGTACAAAAGGAGGAAAGTTCTTTCCCTCATATTACTCTTTTCAAGTAACCTGAATCCTACTAACATGGCACAGTAAATTTAAGACCAGAATCCAGATCTACAAATAAAACCAATCTGTCTTGACCAAAGTTTAAGTTCACTTTCATTGGTAACCTCACATACTTCAATACTCTTTCAGAGAAAATTGGGAGGTGAGGGAAAGACAGATGAAAATATGGCAGTGAAAGAGAACCAAAGCAATCTTCTGGAGATGCATTAGGATACCAAATATCCAGAATCTTCCAAATTTTTACCTTTCAAAATTTAAAGTACACATCTCCTGTAACCAGAAATTTGCTTCTAGGAATTAATCCTTTGGTTGTATGCACATAAATGCACAAGGGTACATGTATAAGGATTTTTTTAATGCATTACTTGTAATTGTGAATAGAGAGGGAAGGAGACAGAGAGGAAGAGAGGAGGAAAAGGGAGAGGAAAAAAATTCCACAATCCTATAACTATAAAAACAAATAAACCACCCAATGCCATTAATAAAGAATAAATAAATATTGCTACATCCACACAACAGAATATAATGTATAAAATACATAAATAAATGTTGATTTTCATAAGCTCCTACTTTGTGGGGAAAAAATTAATAACAATATTAATAACCACACAGCTGGCCATCAACATTCCCTCCTCATTAGGTTGAAGCAAAAATCTCATCAACAAGAAAACTGGGCTATTCACTGGATTTACAAATGAGGTACAAATCAAGAGGTGTGCACTGTGATTCAGACATTTTCATCAGTTTCTTTGGTGACCAACAAACACTAAATGGTAAATATGGCCACTTAGAAATCTACATTATTACTGATCTTTCGGAGATAAAACTTGAAAATTGCTAGTAATAGCAAATTTCAGCCAATTCTATAACCACTCACAGACAAGTTATTCACACTCTAATGAAGGAGTGAAAAACTTTAATTACCTTTCCTGTGCTCTGTAAGATAGTTGTTCGTGTCCTCCATACTCTCTCTCTGCTGACAATGTCTCGTGTCACATCTACCTCAGCGTCCACGAAACTTCTCTGTTTAAGGGCAGTTATGTCATCATCTAAGTCAGTCTTGATAGTAGATCTTTTCTTAGCCATAATTTTGGCTTTGATTGCAGCAATTTTTTCCACTGACATAGCTTCAGACAAAGACCTGAAAGCAATTTCCTTTTTTTAAATTTTCATAGCAAAGATCTCAAGCACATCATAAATATATTTTGTTACATTTATAAGTTCTTGGTAAAAATAACCTTAAGTGGCAATAATTAAGATTTTCTTCTTATCTAAAACTTACATACTTGAGATTTAATAATCATGTAAGATCAAGAGTCCATGTAGAAATATTACTCTATAAGCAAATCAGTAACTTCTTAGAAGGATCAATGCAACAAAAATCCCTGCACTTGTGTTTATCTGCTCCCTTCCCCAAAGGCAGAATCCATTAATATAGCTGCTTTCCTTAACGTTTTCTCAGACTGTTATTTGCCAATGCCTCTCTATCCACACAAACTGTACACACAAACACACAAAAACACACCCCACCTAGGGGGGTTGCGTGTGGAAAACTCATTCTGTAAAGAATTCAAAGCTTAGCTTTTCCTTGAAATTTTATTTCAAGGTGTCACACCTTCATAATGCATGTAACATACCCATTTTATACGCGAAGGAGGCTTTTATATGCCGTATCAACATACATTCCTTTTACTATCTGTAAGATAAAACCATATTTTGCAGTTTTCTTTTTCTTTTCTTTACCTGATTTTCAAATAACAGGCAAAATAGCAAACATGGGGTATACTTTGAGAAGTATAAAAAAAAGACTTAACACAAAATATAAACTTCATTAAGGTAAGTTTAGTGTTGTTTTTCACAAAATGAGAAAAAGAGTTAAAAAGGGTTTGGGAAGGGGCACCCGGGTGGCTCAGTCAGTTAAGCATCTGCCTTCAGCTCAGGTCATGATCCTAGGGTCCTGCAATTGAGCCCATGTTGGGCTCCCTGCTCAGCAGGGAGTCTGCTTTTCCCTCTCCCTCTCTCCCTGATCATGCTTCTCAAATAAATAAAATATTTAAAAAATAAAAATAAAAAGGGTTTGGGTACCTTAAGAGTTGACAAAATTATTACTCTAATCACAAGGTGACAATCTTGAAATATGTTTAAACAACATCTGGAAAAAGGACAGGAATTCCTGCAGGTTTAAATATGGTAGTATTACATAGTATACTAGTTTATTTATATAAGGTATGAAGGAACTTTATAGCAGATGCTCAATATACATCTAGTATTTGACTCATTTTATATAATGCTATGCAATTTCTCCTTAAACTCTAAAGCAAACGGGCATATCTTAAATCGAACTAAAATACTTCTCTAAATCATAGTCAAATGTGAATTGGACCTTCAAATCATTGGGAGTTTTACTTCCAGCTAAAAAATGGAAGTAGCAAGGATTGGATTAACCTCTCCTGCTTCCAAAGAGCCAGTCAAAATACATAAAAGAGTAGCTTACGCAATACCTGGTTATCAAGCTATGAACAACTATGATCTCTGACAAATGGAAACAAGATGAAGTGAGGCCTACAAATGCTGCAGTTTGCCGCCTTGTAAGTTTTCAAAATGGCAAAGGGAGGAGAATCTAGGCAAAACTGAGTGGATTACCTGATTTGAGAAATGGTGCTGAGAGTCCAGCAAAACCAAGGTGGCTGGAATTCATAGGCCTAAGTACCTGAGAAGAAAGAGCTGCAATGAAGATGCCCATCAAGTATTCTTGGAGAATACTGATTAGCACAGGACTATGAGAAAACAAAAGTTGGGTATAGAAACCATCCAACAGGATTAGAGGGGAACAATGTCCAGAGCTCACAGAGGGTGAGGAAAAGTTCTTATTCCTACTAGCCAAACTGAAAACCTCACATCCACTGGGCATTAGGTAGAGTACTCAGAATGGTTTTGTGTAAGCAATGGTGGGGAATAATTACCCTAACCTAACTGAACCCTGCACAAATAACAAATCTTAAATCAAGACATAAAAGGAACAAACTGATTCCAAATGATTTAACTATATCCCAAAACAGTTTTGTAAAATACAAAAATACCTAGCACTCAATATGGTAAAATGCAAAATGTTTAGTATCCAAAGATCACAAAGCATGTAAAGAAGCAGGAAAAGATAAGCCAGAATGAGGAAAAATCAAAATCAAACTCAATTATAAATTGACACAGATACAAGATTAGCAAACAAAGACATTAAAATAATTATTGTAACTCTATTCCATATACTCAACAAATTAAATGAGATATGGACTATATATTTAACGAAACTGCAAAGATAAAAAAAATATATCATGATGGAGACTATAAATACATCACAAATATAATTAAAGAAAAAAATATTAGTGAATGACACAACTACAGAAACTAAAGAGAACCCAAAAAAAAAAGAACCCAAATATTTTAAGAAACAAGGCCAAAAACTTTCTGAACTCAGTAAAAATTATGAACACAAAAATTCCCTCCAAAAGCTCAATGGACTTCAAACATAAGAACCATGAAGAAAAGGCCAAGTTATGTGATAAACAGCTCAAAACCTATAATAGAGAAAACTTTTAAAGTACCCAGCAAGAAAAAGGTTACATTTCATAAAAAAATTTAAAAACTTAAGAAAATGATGACAGCAGACTTCTCAGCAACAATGCAATTGAGAAAGCAGTGGTATAACATTTAATAAGTACAGATGGTCCTGACTTACAATGGTTTGATTTATAATTTTTCAACTTTACAATGGTATGAAAGTGATATGCACTCCAAAGAAACCATACTTGAAATTATGATCTTTTCTCAGGTTAGTGGTATGTAGTACAATGCTCTCTCATTATGCCTGGCAGTGGAAGCAAGCTACAGCCCTCAGTGAGTCACGCAATCACCAGAATAAATAATTAATACACTTAAAATAATTCTGTACCCATACAACCATTCTATGTTACATTTTTGGTATGGCATTCAATATATTACATGAGATATTCAATACTTTATTACAAAATAGGCTTTGTGTTAGATAACTTTGCCCAACTATAGGCTAATGAAAGTGTTCTAAGCATATTTAAAGTAGCCTAGGCTAAGTTACAATGTTTGGAAGGTTAGGTATATTAAATACATTTTTGGTTTACAATATATTCAACATAGGATGTGTTTATCAGGATGTAACTCATCTTAAGTCAAAGAAGACCTGTACTTGGGATGCCTGGGCAGCTCAGCTGGTTAAATGTCTGTCTTTGGCTCAGGTCATGATCTCAGGGTCCTGGGATCAAGTCCCACATCAGGCTCCTTGTTCAGCAGGGAGCCTGCTTCTTCCTCTGCCTGCTCTGCCTGCCACTCCCCCTGTGCTTATGCTCTCTCTCTCTCTCTCTGACAAAAAAAAATAAAATCTTTAAAATTTAAAAAAATTTTAAAAAAAGGAAGACCCGTACTTAAGATGTAACTTAAGAGGCACCTAGGTGGCTTAGTTGGTTAAGCATCTGCCTTTAGGAAAGAACATGAATCCAGGGTCCTGGGATTAAGGCCAGGGTTGGGCTCCTTGCTCAGCAGTGAGCATGCTTCTCTTGCTCTCTCTCCCCTCCCCACAATCATGCTCACTTTCTCTCTCTCTATTTCTCTCAAATAAATAAAATCTTAGAAAAAAAGGAACTTAAAATTTAATATCCAGTAAAAATTCCTTTTTAAAAAAAGGCAAAATAAAGGCTTTTCAGCAACACAAAAGTTCAAAGAATTAATCACCAGCAGGTTTGCACAAAAACAAATGTTAAAAGAAATCTTTCAGGAACAAGGAAAAAATTAGGGTAAATAGATCTGAACAAAGAAATGAACAATGGAAATGGTATCTGTAAATACATAAGATTTTTTCCTTGGGGCGCCTGGGTGGCTCAGCTTAACTCAAAGGTTAAGCCTCTGCCTTCGGCCCAGGTCGTGGTCTCAGGGTCCTGGGATCAAGCCCCGCATCCAGCTCTCTGCTAGGCAGGGAGCCTGCTCCCCTCTCCCCGCCCCCATCCCGCCTGCCTCTCTGCCTACTTGTGATCTCTCTCTCTCAAATAAATAAATAAAATTAAAAAAAAAAAAAAAGATTCTTTTCTTATTTAAAGCTCTTTAAAGGATAACACATTAAAGAACAATGCATATTGGTGCTTACAACACAGTATAAGTGTACCATTTTAAGGTTCCCATACTATACAGGAAGTAGTGAGTATAACACTTCTGGATAGACTGTGATGCTATAAACCATGCATACTAAAAGCCCTAAAGCCCTAATAACAAGACAGTTATAACCAATAAGCCAATAAGAAAAAATAGAATTATAACCAGTATTTGCTTATTCCAAATACAAAGCCCAAAAACAGGACAAAGAAAAGACAAATAAGAAACAATAAGCAAGGGGCGGGCGCCTGGGTGGCTCAATCGTTAAGTGTCTGCCAGGATCCTGGGATCCAGCCCTGCCATCAGGCTCCCTGCTCAGTGGGAAGCCTGCTTCCCTGCTTCTCCTTCTCCCACTCTCCCCGCTTGTATTCCCTCTTTCGCTGTCTCTGTGAAATAAATAAATAAAATCTTTAAAAAAAAGCAAAATGGACTAAAACTAACCATATCAATAATCACATTAAGTATAAAAGATCCACATATACAATTAAAGGACTTAAACTATAAAGACATATAGATTAAAAGTAAAAGGATTCCAGTTTTCAGTTACACAATATGAAAGAGCTTAGGGCTATGAACTACACATTTAAAACCACTACAATGATAAATGTTATGTAATGTGTTTTTTACCATATTTTGTTTTTTAAAGTAAAAGGATAAAAACATATACTATGGTAACATAAGCCAAAAGAAAGCTGGAGGAGTGTCTAGGTCAATACAAGAAAAAGTAGATTTTTTTAACAAAGAACACTGCCAGAGGTAAAGGTCATTCCATAATGATAAAAAGATCCATTCATCATGACAACATAACCTTAAACATTTACACCTAATAACAGAGATTCAAAGAGAACAAAATCTGATAGAAATGCAAAGAAAAATAGACAAATCCAGAGCCAGAGATTTCAGTAATTCCATCCCAATAATTAATAATACAAGACAAAAAACAAGTAAGGATATAGAAGACTCTACTGA